ACAGGTGCTGTGGGAAAGCGCGGGGAAGGGGAGAGGGGTGGGAAGGGCAGGAAGGAGAGGAGCAGAAACAGGTGGCGTAGAAAGAGGGCGCGGAACGAGGAATAGAAAGGTGAGGAGAGTGTGTTCCTCCTCGCTTGGTGACCCGGAAAATTCAACGCAAAGACTTTGTATCTGGGTGGTGCTGAAGGGAAGCGCTTGCAGCGTCACGAAGAGACAATGGTGTGACGTAATGGACCTTTTTCCAGTAAGGAGTGCCTCATGACGGTTTCGCCGCCAACTACAAATGGAGGGCAACCGGACTCGCCTTCTCCCATAGGAACAGATTAGTGTCGCAAGAAATAGTGCCCCCCAAGAATGGCGAAAGGGCGGTCAAGGTCAAGAGAAAAGGGTGTGAGCGTGCGCAGACGCTTACTGGAAAAAGGTCCATTTGTTTCCATAGCAAATCCTGCCCTAGCCCTAGTGAAAAGTTTTATTTGCATAACAGATTTCTTGGTTCAATAAGCGCATATGATCAAATAAGATCATGTATGAGCATATAAGACCCTTATAAGAAGATTTAAGAAGATACAAAAAACATATAAGGGGTTTCTTATAACGTCTTATATAATCTTATATTGTTCTTATATGTTTTACACGGTTCCTATATGTTCTTACATGATTATTTGACCATATGCGCTTACTGGACCAAGACATTTGTTTTTCAAATGAGATCTTTCACTAGCGAGGCACCACCTGAACTAAGAGCACCACCCACCCCAGGCACTAAAATACTAAGAGTCATCTTGCCCTAGGCACCACCCGAAGTAATAGCACCACCCAGCTTATATAGCTACCGCATTAAAACGCTTTTGACAGAATGACCAAACAAGTAGCCAGTTTTGTAGTTTTGTAGTTAGGTTGTCGCTTTCCCGATTCTTATTTGTGACGCAGTAACACCTGGAGTAAGCGTGTTCCTGTTTAAGGATCTATTCGCACAATAGTGCTTTATCTGTGGAGAGAACCGACCACGTACCCTTCACCGCCCCTCCTCCTGTAATCTCCTCCTCCCGAAAAATAAAATGTTCGTTTTGGTGACACTGCAGAAATCGAGGTATGAACCTCTGCGCAGTGTTAGGGATGAAAAGCAAATTTAAATCCGTAATTTAAATTTTGTTCACCACACACCTCGCTCTAACGGCATGCTAAAAGTCACTGACAGCGTAAAGCCCGACGAGCAGCCAGAAAGGAGGCAACTCCCTTTCAATTCCTCCTTTCCATTCGACAAAGAAGGAGATTCCCCTCCTTTCTGCTGGGGTGTAGGTAAGACACCTGCTCTTGCAGGGAGAGGAAGAGAAAAGAGTGAGAGGGAAGGAAAGGAAAAAAACTGGGAACTGGTTTTCTTCCCATCAGAAGACGATTCTGCTGCAGGTTAATCTTTAAGAAACACTTGCTCCGTGTTTCTTAATTCGGCGTCCTTATTGGTAAATGCCTCAATCTTATTGGCTACGAAGTGGTAAGGAAATGCTCAAGACTCGGAACGCCCAAAGTTTCTTAAGATATTCCCGTCACTGTACACTTCTGGTTTCTGCTGTTCTTCTCATTGTGAAACTCCGGGCCGGAATTTTACGACTCTATTCCGTTTTCTGGCGATAGTTGCAACCGTGTTAGGGAAGGAACCATCAGAAAACGTCTTTGGTTTCGAATGGCGAGACATGGACGATTTGTCAAGAACGTTGTTCCGGAGGGGTCCCTCAGGCTTTCGGAGAACTGAGTAGTAGTAGCACCACTTTGAAAGACGCAATTAATAAAGCAGTTTAACAAGCTGGCGTTACAGGCTTTGTTGCTCGTGCTACTGATGATGGGAAAACAGTACGGGTCGTCATTTAGTTATTTTACAACTCTTATTTTACAATGATTTATTTATTTATTTGATAAAAAAACCCGATGTTCATCAACAAGCATCCAGACATTTACCCATCATCGAAAGTCTCTGCAATGCCATTTACGTGACAAGGAATAAAAAATGAGCTAGGGAACACCCAAGGTGACCGCGAAGGGTCCCGAAGTGTGATGATTGATTACTACAAATCGGGAGCAATTTCTGAGATTCGAGTTGTTGAATTCAGCAATGTTGCTTTTAACGCGATTACGTTTAAGAGCTCGCATTGGAAAAAAATCCAGCGTCAGCGTCGGCGTCGGTGGGACCGAAATTTTCCATAATGCAACACGCACAGTCCCGCTTGACGTCACATGTGGCTGTAACGCCATGGCCCTATCGACCCCCTAAATTTGGCTTGAAACTTTACCGCTAAATTTATCGGAAACCTTTCTGGCCAAATTCGATGGAAAAATTTAATAAAACCACGTAACGTCATGTGACGTCCCGTGACGCGTTACGCACCGACTAGACCGCGCACACACGCTTATACGGCTTAGGAACGAGCGTGGGTTTAATAAGAAGGCTTTGTGAACGGGGCCCGATAACGCTGTCACGTTCCACTTTTAAAGGCGAAGCTTAAGCGTCCCCCAAGTGTTTTATTCCAATTTCAATTTGTTCACAAACAAGCCGCCACCCTTGTTAAATTTGGTTCAGTTAGCAACGGAAGCATTCGCAGCCCAAGGGATTTCTGAAAGCGTTGAACCATTTAAGCTACTGGTCATAGTGCTGGTCCCAGATGAATCTACCCGTGGTAAGCAGTGCTGAACAACCTGGAAAGAAAAGACTTGCCGGTTAGGATGTTGAATTGATGGGTCACTGGTCTTGGCGGGGGGGAAACTTACCAGCTGATGGCTGGAGGTGGCGCTGGAGGCTTACCGGCGGGTGGTGGTACTGGAACCTGCACCTGTGGTACTCAGTGTAATTGCAGCTGCAAAAAAAAGTAAAAAAAAAGAAAACATTTGTTGATTAGGATTTTGAATTACTTGGGTAAACCAGCTTTTTTCTGGTTCTAGAAAACTTACTAGTCGGCGGAGTTGTTGATGCTGTTGTAGTTTCCATAGTAGTAGATATTGTACCTGTAGTTGAAGCTGGGAAAAATATTGTTGGTTAGGATCAGACTTGCATGGTACTCATTGCAAGTAATCAAATTACTTGTGGTCGACTACTTCTTGAAGAAATTTGGTAACTATTTTACTACTTTTATTTGGTAGTACTCGCAAGATTATGATTACTTTTAGAAGTAATACAATTACTTGTAACCATTCGTATTTTTTCAACCATCCATCACCCCTCGGTTTCCGAGTTTATGACTGCATTGTCCCCCCAGTGGGTATAAACCGCTGCGTCCAGGTTTATCATGATTCTCATTGATCATGTACTAACGTGGACATGATCATGATCACGACCAGGTTATCAGCTTATAAATCCGAGGAACAAGAAATAATAAAACGATTGTTACTCAGCTGTTCGAATGGAGGTCAGGCTCTTTGTCTGGTCAGTTTATATAGTGATCTTTTGCATTTGAACCTGGCATGGTGAAGTCTTAGTACTCGACAAAACCCATCCTGTACAAGGGTTGATGGTTAATGCAGCATTTGCGTATATTCACCCTTCAAACTGCTTCTCCCCCTCCTTAAAAAAAGAACTAATTTCGATTTAAAGCATTTCTACAATCTGGTGCCCCTCCCCCGAGATATTTAATGACAGGTAATGTCACAGCTAAGGTGGGTCAAAATACATTAAACATTCCAAAAGGGTGCACCATTTTTTGCATTCAAGTTTAGGTTTTTCAAAGACTTGAGCGTGTTGGTGATCTACATTGACTTAAAACGAAAGAAACATACAAAAAAAAAAACGAAACAGACGACACAGACGTTGTCTGTTGCGTCCTCTTGTGTGTTTCTTTCGTTTTAAGCCAAAGTTTTGAGTGTTTTTCCGTGTAAAGTTCTGTGGGCATGGAACAAGGGAGTGCGAACCCTCTTTGGAGCGACGAAGCTAGATAATGTTTAATCTTTTTAGCTACTATGACCTATGTGGCGCTCCCAAAACATCGCCAAAACATCGTTCTGGAAAGCTTACTAGTTGGCGATTCGTTGATACAGGGGTGGTTTCCGTTGAAGTACTAGAAGTTGTACCGGTGGTACTCTGTGTAGTTGTAGCTAAGGAAACATATTTATTGGTTAGGAATTTTAGGGTGTTTCATTACATCGACAAATTAGCTTCGTTTTGGTTCTGAAAAGCTTACCGGTTGGCGGATTTGTTGATACAGGAGTGGTTTCCGTTGAACTACTAGAAGTTGTACCGGTGGAACTCTGTGTAGTTGTAGCTAAGAAAACACATTTTGTTGGTTAGGAATTTCAGGCTGTTTAATTACATGGACAAATAGCTTCGTTGTAATTCTGAAAAGCTTACCGGTTGGCGGATTTGTTGATACAGGAGTGATTTCCGTTGAAGGACTAGAAGTTGTACCGGTGGAACTCTGTGTAGTTGTAGCTAAGAAAACACATTTTGTTGGTTAGGAATTGTAGGTTGTTTAATTACATGGACAAATAGCTTCGTTGTAATTCTGGAAAGCTTACCGGTTGGCGGATTTGTTGATACAGGAGTGGTTTCCGCTGAAGTACTAGAAGTTGTACCGGTGGAACTCTGTGTAGTTGAAGCTAAGAAAACACATTTGTTGGTTAGGAATTGTAGGTTGTTTAATTACATGGACAAATTAGCTTCGTTGTGGTTCTGGAAAGCTCACCGGTTGGCGGATTTGTTGACACAGGTGTGGTTTCCGTTGAAGTACTTGAAGTTGCACCGGTGGAACTCTGTGTAGTTGAAGCTAAGAAAACACATTTTGTTGGTTAGGAATTTTAGGTTGTTTAATTACATGGACAAATAGCTTCGTTGTAAATCTGGAAAGCTTACCGGTTGGCGGATTTGTTGATACAGGAGTGGTTTCCATTGAAGTACTTGAAGTTGTACCGGTGGAACTCTGTGTAGTTGAAGCTAAGAAAACACATTTGTTGGTTAGGAATTGTAGGTTGTTTAATTACATGGACAAATTAGCTTCGTTATGGTTCTGAAAAGCTCACCGGTTGGCGGATTTGTTGATACAGGTGTGGTTTCCGTTGAAGTACTTGAAGTTGTACCGGTGGAACTCTGTGTAGTTGAAGCTAAGAAAACACATTTGTTGGTTAGGAATTTTAGGGTGTTTCATTACATCGACAAATTAGCTTCGTTTTGGTTCTGAAGAGCTTACCGGTTGGCGGATTTGTTGATACAGGAGTGGTTTCCGTTGAAGTGCTAGAAGCTGTACCGGTGGAGCTCTGTGTAATTGTAGCTGAGAAAACACATTTGCTGGTTAGGAATTTTCGGGTGCTTAATTTCATGAACAAATTAGCTTCGTAATGGTTCTGGAAAGTTTACTGGTTGGCGGATTTGTGGATACAGGGGTGGTTTCCGTTGAAGTACTAGAAGTTGTACCGGTGGAACTCTGTGTAGTTGGAGCTAAGAAAATACATTTTTGGTTAGGAATTTTAAGGTGTTTAATTACAATTACAAATTAGCTTCGTTTTGTTTCTAGAAAGATTGCTGGTTGGCAGATTTGTTGATACAGGGGTGTTTTCTGTAGAAGTAGTAGAAATTGCACCTGTGGTACTCTGTGCACTTGTAGATAAGAAAACAAATTCGTTGGTTAAGAATTTTAGGTTGTTTAATTACATGCAAGAGTGCGTTTTGGTAAGGGTCCCTAAAGCTTACTGGTTGGCGGATTCGTTGACACAGTAAGGATTTCCGTTGAATTAACAGAAGTTGTACCGGTGGTACTCTGCATAGTTGTAGCCATGAAAACATTTGTTGGTTAGGAATTTTAGGACGTTAATTACTTGAACAAAGTTGTTTCGATATGGTTCTGGAAAGCTTACTGGTTGGCGGATTCGTTGCTACAGGGGTGGTTTCCCTTGAAGTACTAGAAGTGGTACCGGTGGTACTCTGTGGTGTTGTAGCTAAGAAAACATATGTTGGTTAGGAATCTTTGTGTGTTTAATTCCATGGACAAAATTAGCGTTTGTATGGTTCTGGAAAGCTTACTGGTTGGCGTATTAATTGATACAGGGGTGGTTTCCGTTGAAGTACTAGAAGTTGTACCGGTGGTACTCTGTGTAGTTGTAGCTAAGAAAACACATTTGTTGGTTAGGAATTTTTGAATGTTTAATTCTATGGACCAAATTAGCTTCGGTATGGATATGGAAATCTTACTGGTTGGGGGATTCGTTGATACAGGGGTGGTATCCGTTGAAGCACTAGAAGTTGTACCGGTAGTACTCTGTGTAGTTGTAGCTATGAAAACATTTGTTGGTTAGGAATTTTAGGATGCTAATTACTTGAACAAAGTTGCTTCGATATGGTTCTGGAAAGCTTACTGGTTGGCGGATTCGTTGATACAGGGGTGGATTCCCTTGAAGCACTAGAAGTGGTACCGGTGGTACTCTGTGTTGTTGTAGCTAAGAAAACACAATTGTTGGTTAGGAATTTTAGTGTTTGATTACATGGACAAATTAGCTTCGTTATGGTTCTGGAAAGCTTACTGGTTGGCGGATTCGTTGATACAGGGATGGTTTCCGTTGAAGTACTAGAAGTTGTACCGGTGGTACTTTGTGTAGTTGTAGCTAAGAAAAGACATATGTTGGTTAGGACTTTTATAGTGTTTACTTCCATGGACAAAATTAGCTTCGGTATGGTTCTGGAAAGCTTACTGGTTGGCGGATGCGTCGATACAGGGGTGGTTTCCGTTGAAGTACTAGAAGTTGTACCGGTGGTACTCTGTGTAGTTGTAGCTTTGAAAACATTTGTTGGTCAGGAATTTTAGGATGTTAATTACTTGAACAAAGTTGCTTCGTTATGGTTCTGGAAAGCTTACTGGTAGGTGGATTCGTTGATACAGGGGTGGTTTCCGTTGAGGTACTAGAAGTTGTACCGGTGGTACTCTGTGTTGTTGTAGCTAGGAAAACCCATTTGTTGGTAAGGAATGTTTAGGATGTTGAATTACTTGGACACATTGGCTTCATTATGGTTCAGGAAAACTTACTGGTTGGCGGGTTTCTGGTTTTTATTGTTGTGCTAGGAGCTGCAACTGTGATACTCGGCATGGGGCCAACAATCGAAAAGTTTTTATGATACAGTTATACAATAATTTTGTTCTAAATTGGACTTCCGGTCGGGGTGGCGGTGTATCTTTCATGGTAACACAGAATTTTTCTTGCGGAATGCTGCTTAATTAGTTGTGTGTAAACCAAGATTATGAAGTTCTGTCTTTGTGCATAAATCGAAACGTGGTAGCCGTCGTGTATCGGCTTTCATATGGAAAACTTCAAACCTTTTTTTACTTTCTTGAGAGAATTTTGAGTTTTGCAAATTAAAATAAATTCAACTTCATTATGGGCGGTGATTTTAATATTAACATACTTGCAGCGACCCCTGCAAAAAGAAACCTGTAACAACCTTTACAACAATTCGGATGTATGAACGTGATCTCCTCACCTACCCGAATTACTCCTACATGTTTTTCGCCTGATTTGTTTATAAATAACCTACACACCTCTCATATTTTGGCTGAAATAATGAGTACAGACATAAGAGACCACCATGGTATCTATTTCTGTTTAAGAAAAAACACGTCGAACGCGATAGAATCTGAGTCACTTTGTTTTTTAAAAATTTTACTGAACTTCTTAAACACTTTCAGGCAAAAAGTGCTCTCCCTTAATTGGAGTGATATATTCCAAGAAAAAGACGAAGATCGTGCATATAATATATTTTTAACTAAGTTTCAAAAATTGTATGGCGAATGCTTTTTATAGGCTACTCCGTCTGTCAAAAAGCCGCGAACCTTGAATAACCCAGGGTAGCTGGTCAAATTTCAAGCAAAAAATAGATTATATAAAAAAAGTTTTTGGAAACGCGTGATCGTGAGTTGCTAAAACGTTCAAGCAATATCACAACAAATTAGCGAAAGCGTTTAGAAATGCAAAAGCAAACAATTTTGCGACACTCTTTCCAAGTGCGCAAATAAGGCAGATGCAACGTGGAGAACAATTATCACAGCATTGAGTCGCTCTTGTTAACCAAAACCAATCGCAAAAAGTTGGTTGAACAATCAAGAATTGAGTGGAACCCGCTTAGATAATTAATTTAATAACTTCTTTGTCAACCTCGACAGAGGCAATTTTGACAGTGATGCTTTAAATTATATGAAAGGAATAAATGACAAGTCTTCATTTCTAAGCCCGGTAATAGAAACTGAGGTGACATCTGTATTTCTAGGATTAAATAGCATGGAAGCTGCGATGCAGATGGTATCGAAATTACGCCCGTAAACTATGTTTTAGAAATGGTATCGCCATATCTTGCTGACATTTTTAACCTTTATCTACTAGAAGGCGTCTATCCTAAACGAATTCAAATAGGAAGAGTCACCGTCTTGTATAAAAAAGGAAACAAAAACGATATGGGGGGCTATCGGCCTATGTCAATATTGCCTGTTTTTTCGGAAGGACTGGAAGTGATGATTTATCTAGGATGTCTAATTTCTGCAACAAGCGTTCTATATTGAGTGACGCGCCATTCAGTTTCAAGAATCATCGTTGAACAAAACTAGCCCTTTTAGACCAGAAAGAGTTTATCCTAAATTGTTTCGAAGAGAAAACATCTCGCAATTTTTGTGGATTACGCTTTTCATTATTTGAATTATGACTTGCTAATAAAAAAGCTGGAGATTTATGGTTTTTGCGTAGACGCTTTAGGGCTCTTAACATCGTATCTACGTAGTCGAAAGCAATTTGTACAACTGGATGGCCACTTCTCCAATATAAAGCCAATTTTATCTGATGTACCGCAAGGTAGTATCCTGGGTTCGTTTTTATTTAACATATACTTGAACGAGTAATACTTAAACATTGATAACGTCACAGACTTCGTTATTTTTGCAGGTGATACGACATTGTTGTTTTACTCAAAGTGTCCCTCTAAACTAATTTCCCGAGCAAATGTTACACTTGTAACATTGGAAAGATGGACTCTGAGTAACGTGCTCAAAATAAATACAAGAAATCTATAACCGTCCTATTTTGCCCCCAAAAAACAAGAATATGTGCGTTTATGAAGATATGAATTTGTTCGATTCAATAATAGAATTAGTCAGCGCCTTCAAAACCCTTGACGTATTCTTAACGAAGCGGATGGCTTAGGAAGAAGATACAAACTACGTCGTGTCGAAATTATCAAGCATCATAGGTTTAACTTATACTCATTGACAGATTTTACCTACTAGTGTCAAACTTCCCGTACACGACACATTACTCTATTCGCATGTATATTACTGTCATCTGGTATGGAGAAACAGGACCCTCCAAAATTTGCAGATTTACTTAGTGCAGAAGAAAATGTTAAGCAATACATAAAATGTTCCGAAAGATCACCCTTCTGCACCACTTTTTTCAAAAACATGGCATAATGAACATGCATAACATGTATATGCATTTTGTTTGAATATGATATATTTATTTATTTATTTGTTTTCAGTGCCTACCAACGGCCACAAGCCTATAGGACGGTAGAGCAGCAAGTCATATTACGAAGGTTAAAACGACAAAAGCAATACATCCAGAAAACGACCCGACGACAACGCACTAAATCAGATTGTCAACGGTTTTCTTGAATGATGTGATGTCATCATTAAAAAATTCAAGGCGCGTATGTATATGATTAAAATAGTTCTGTATGCGAACTAAAGGAGAGAAACAATGCATGAGATTATTGGCAAACGTGCGGTTGTTGCGAAAATGTCTAACAGGCACATTTAGATTGATGCAAGACACAATAAGAGGACAGTCATAATACCCATGCAGACACTTGAACAAAGATGGGAGATCATATCTGCCGCGTCTTGTTTTCAACTCCACCAATCCTAAGCGATTGAGCACATTCACATATGAGTAGGGCTCGGATAGGTCTTGTCTTGCGTGAAACGTACGTGCAAATCGTTTTTGGACACGCTCTAACGTGGCTGCAGCAGTGGCACTAAGGTTGTTTCAAACAACTGAAGCCAAGTATGATTCGGGCAAAATAAGGCTTCTGTACAATACGAAAAAACATAAAGGGTCGCGAAACACAGAACTAAGGCGAGTGACAATGCCCAACACTTTAAAAGTGGCTGACAGGATCATCTTAACATGACTGCTGAAGTTTAGCTTTTCATCTAGCAAAACGCCGAGAGCCCGCACAACCGACACACGTTTAATAAGAGCGTTGTCTAGACAGTAATCAAAAAGAACAGGAAGGGTTTTGCCTGTGAAAGAAATGACCTGCATTTTGCGAAGGTTTGGGTCAAGCTGATTATCTACACACATTATCTACAACGTAAAGCAAAAAACAACACGATTATTCTTACTCAGTTAGCTTGTTTATGTAAACGAACAGTCACATATCCGACACGCAGCATTGACTAATGGAACATTTATTTGTGAAATTTGGGGAGCAAACGATGAAACGCAAACTTCCAGAATTGCTCAATTTCTGTAATAATTGCAATATACATCTAGAATGTTCATAAAACAGATTTGAAGTTTTTCTCTTCTAGCATGAGTATAAAGTCATGAGTATCGAGGTGCTATGATTGTGGGGTGTTTATAATCAGTCTCATGAAAAAAAAAATTTTGTTGTTATGATTGAAAAAGTGTTTCTGTGCGATGTGCTGCACTGTCTTCCTTTTTGTTTTCTACATGATATAACTTTAGGGCGGGGGGGCGGGGCGGGGGGGGGGGGGGGGGGGAAGGGAGCTCGTCAAGCTAATTTCTTCAGCTTTTTTCCTCCAAACTCCCCCATTGCTCGGATGGAAAATAAAGTCATTATTATTATTATTATTATTATTATTATTATTATTATTATTATAACTTTAAATTATATAGGTCACTCATTTTTGGAGCTTTTATTGCGGGGTACCTACTTGTTTCTTTTGTTGTTGTTTCAAGGGATGGGTCATCGGCCTTAAGGCATATGCATTTTCCACTCCTGCAGACACCGAGTCTCCAGACTGGGCACTTGTAGGACTGAAAATAAAATTCAAGAACTTGACACAACATGCTGTACCAAGAGTTTCCCGATGCATTGTTTATTTCTATAAAAGATTGGACCATGATTTTTTAGATTTATCCTGCCATATTTACGAATCCAGCACGCTATATATATATATATATATATGCTTCCTGATATATAACTATATAGCTTATATATAAGGAAGCTATATATATAGCTTCCTGACGAAGGCCGGACTCCGGCCGAAACGTCGAAGATTCAATCGTCCGTTGTTGCTGTTTTTCACTAAGGGTTTTTTTCTTCTCAGTTATATATATATATATATATATATATATATATATATATATATATATATATATATATATATGTATATATAACTTTCAAATTTAGATCCTATATTCCGTGTCACTAGTTGCGTGCAGTACAGGCGAAGTCAACGCCAGGCGTGGGGAGAAAAACTAAGCACTAGAAAGGCAGGGGAAGAGGAGAGAAACCTCCTCTCCTTTCTAACGTTCCTAGTGCTCTCCCTTTCTCCCCTCGCCCCCCTCTTCCGTCCCGTCTTCCTATTGCTCGCCCTTTCTTTCTTCGCCTGGCGTTTCCTTTTCCTGCACTGCACGCAACTAGTGACACGAAGTATAACTTTTTTCCCTCTCGCAATTTTCGCTCGGCAAAGGAACGTGTGACTGTGGGACATGCAGAGGGCCAAAAGTTTGTCATACCACACAGAGATGCCCATCCCAAAACTCTCCATAGAAGCAGTAAAGCGTCCGCTGCAAAAATAGACCAAAAAATTAAACAATTATACAACGTTAAGACTTTCATTTAATTTGTTTTAAGGTTTGAAGGCATTACAGAGAAGACTGGTACACTAAATATACATGTAAAAGTAGATATAATAAAAAAGGCAAACATGCAAGATTAGTACGAACAAAACATCATTTAACAAATTAGTAATTGCAATTTTAAAATCAGCGGTGTTAGTAACTGAAACTATGATTGCGGAAAGGCGATTCCAATAAATGAAGGCTTGGGACAAGAAGAAGGCATTAAAAGCAGATTTGCTGCAACGGCAGATTCTATCAAAGGACATTTCCGGGGCAAACACAAACAAAAATATTATTCCTGGCCTATTTGAGTGATCCATTGAATAGGTGTTTTTATTTACATAGAGACCTGCATCGCCTTTCGCCATTAAGACTTTCCTTTAAAGTGTTGTCATGTTTCAAAGGTATATAGACAGTTGCGTATAGAGTTTTGAAACTAAATGTGCATTGTTGTGTGCTCATTACTAAACTCTAGGAGCAAGCGAGTGCAACTTTGAATTATGTTTACCTTGTTTAACCCTTTGCACTGTATATAATTTACACCTCTGTCCCGTATAAACACTCACCTGTCCTCATATATGTTCAATTGTTCATTTACTCATATCTTGTGTTTCTTCTGCGGATGTAAAGGGGAGGCGGGGGCGTCGACAAGTAGGGACATGCTGCTTTTTCCCCTGCCTTCTCCTCTCAGATGGAGAGGAAATGAAATTGATTGATTGGTTATACTTGATGATTGGTGCGTAATGATATGTAAGATGGATCTGAAAATAGCTCTTGGCTAAGTTTTGGGTTTGAGTGAAAAGTTTTGTGAAACAAACATACGCGATATATACTTCTACTAAGGGAGAGATTATAGGCAAGGATAGTTATGCTTCACAATGCCAACTTTTTTTGCGGGTCGTGCAAGAATACATTGAGGTAAATAAATACAGTGATGGAAGTGCTGTGTCATTTTTTCCAAATTGTGCCATGAAAGACAGTCTGCTATTCTTGCGCCATAATGCCAGTTATGCTAAGACGTTTGCCACACCTGCGCCGAGATGGGTTGAAAGCAAAAAAAAAAGTTTTATTATTGGTCGACCCTAATGTTAAGAGAAGTAGAAGGAAAAATAATTGTACAAATATGAATTCTACAGCGTCTCTACTCCTCACGGTATAGCTTTTCTTGTCTTAGGTCAGAGCACAGTGGAAGACTCGAACACACACAACCACAAACACACGTACTAAAAGCTCAAGTTACGGGTCATTCGCTGCACTTGATTTGCTTAGACGATAAGAGAACACGCACAACGAGATGACGAATGCCACGATGTCGCCCTTTGATGCTGCGAATCAACTGGCCAGAACCGCTGATGCTGGACGTCAACCGCTCTGGCCGGTTGATGTGTCGTCATTATCGCGGCCGGCTACACTTGCTTAGGCGAGCCGGCCGCGATAATGACGAATCGCAAGCCCGGAAGGGCAGAGCGATAACTTTACCGGCGCTCTTTCCTGTTTAGTTTCGGTTTGACACCATTTACCAAAGTGACATTTCTCAACCCCGGAGCACCTACTAGGAATTTTTGTTTATCCAAATTTGATGACACGGCTAGACTGTGGTCGGTCTTCAGTCCTCGAAATACATTATGTGCCCTCAAGTGAAAAATAAAAAAGTTAGTTAAAACATTTTAGTTAATTAGTTCAATAAATTACCTAATTTCACCTTTTTTCTAGAGGTCGCCATGGCCACTAACACTTCCCCAGGGCTCAAATTACTCTATCTCACGTTCCTTTTTTTGAAAATTTGGTGCAACTAAAGAAAACAGCTTGTATATGAATAAATACGCTAGTAACGGTAGTTCCCGTGCAGCTATCAAACGAAAAAGCAGTGGACTTTGACGTAACTCTGGTTCCTACGCCGCCAAGGAGCAGTGTAACATTTAAAGCACAAGTGTAGGCTTTATAATATGTTTGGGTGGTTGTTTTTGTCGTTTATGATATTAGAGTCTCGACTTTGGTATATTCATTAAATTTACTGGACGCATTTTTATTGGAAAATGTGTTAGTGGATATGATGATCCTTGGCGACATTTCACGGAAGTTATATTTACAGGCTAAACGAACTACCAAGTGCGAAATAGAGAATGAAGAGAGGATTCATCGCAATTAAGTGTAGGGCTAAAATGTGATTTTCAAACATTTTTAATGCTTATTGTAAAGGAAAACTACTCTGACTAAAACCTTATTTAAGAATGCTGTGTTCTTTTTATGCCGTATCTATTTTTATCACAGACGGTAATGAGTAATATGCTCGAGTATGAAAGAGGAACCATTGATCACTATCATAAAGGAATTCGCTTAGAGATTCAATCACTTTTTCATTCTCAAGTGATCCGCTACCAAATGTTGGCATCTGCTCCAATAACGTCAGTGGTTGCACCAAACCAACATTTTGCCCGCTTTAAAACCTACTAAAAAAAGGTAAAAGTGCCACCTCCATCACTGCAAATATAGTCCTTGCATGCTACTCCCTTGCATGAGACCATTTTTCCTATGAAAGATGCATTGATTCGGGGAATGAATAAATAAATTATTGCCTTCTTTTTATGTTTGCCTCCCGATCGAATAATGAATTGTCGGAGTTTCGCGAGTACAGTTCACCCTTAGTAGGATGTGAGTTGTAGAGGTGAGGAACATCTCATGATAGCTCCACGGCCAATGAGATTGCATCATTAGCTGATAACAACTCCGAAGGACCAATCACAAAGCAAGAAGCGCGAAGATAAGAAGCCACGCCCTACGTTTCTTGAGGTGCCATGGGAGTGACTGTAGACCGACACACCGTTTACAAACCGATGCCCGCTTTGCCAGGTGCAGACACTGCGCGTGCGATTTCCGCGAGAGGAATCATCTGCGCATGCGCAGTGGAGACAGCAGTGCCACCGCAGCGGAGTGTCGTCAGAGAGTTTTGAATTGGTGTACAGGCGCCCTTTGTGGATCAGTGCGAGATATGCTCACAGCGTGCTTTTGGCGGCGGGTAAACTCGTAGAAATTAAGAAAAAAAAAAAAAGGTATTTGGTTTTACAATAAATTTAAGCAGGGTAAAGGAAATTAGTTTATCAACTTTTTAAAGCTGCACCGTCATTTTTAACGAAAAGCGTGAAGTTATCTCAGAGTGCCTCAAACATCTTGTTGCTCTTCATTTTTGAATACTGCGCGACTTTGAGAATGGTGCAATATATATTTGGGTTATAAAAATTTGTTATCTTAACATCGAAGTTTGTGAAGGCATCTGATTTGCTTTTTCCTGAGATATTTGAAGCTAAATTAGTTCAAATATTTGTGCTTACTACCGCTTTTTTATATTTTGCGATACCCAGTTGTTTTGTCTCCGGTGAGTTTCAATATTAAAAAAGCTAGCGCTCAAAAAAAAAAAAAAAAACTTAATTGTTTAGCGCGGTTGTTTATTCAACAGTATTTTTTGCTTTCACACGACTTTATCTCAAGGCCGAAGGCAAGAGCGCGCTCAGCGCCCTGCTGTTTCGTCATACACTCTAAGAAATGCCTGCACGTCTACTTATCCGCAAGACACTCAAAGAGTCAATCACTGCGATCTACGAAATTAGCTCAGCGAAGGATGAGGCGGAACATCCGATTAGACGTAAAAATAAAGTTTGCACTGAGGCATTACGCAATGCAAAGCGTCCTGCTTGCATTGCGTAGTGCCACAGCGCAGACTTCATTTTGAGGTCTAAACGGATGTTCCGCCTCATCATTCGCTGACCTGATTTCGTACATCGCTGAGATTGGCTCTTCGGGTGTTTTGCGGGTAAGTAGACGCTCAGGCATTTCTTAGAGTGCAGGGAGAACTGGACGACGGGAGGCGTCGATAAGGGACTCATGGGGCATAAGCAGAAGTAATCTTAATACAAGAAACGATATCCAACATACTGTATTCACTCACAGTTTGTCTCAACGATGGAGGATCGATGTTAGCGCCGTATGACAACCACAGTGGCCCTGTAGAAAAGTCAGTACTACTTATCTTTATGCAAATTAAAAGCGTCTTGCATATTGTGAACAATTTTATATCTGACGGGTAAAATATTATGTTTTTAATGAGAGTAAAAATAACTCTATCTTCATTTAATCACCACGGAATGACGGATGAATAAAGAAGATCGCTATATTGTTGC